ATATATATATATGTATATATATATATATATATGTATATATATATATATATATATATATATCAATTCTGCTGAGGTTCGTTCTTATTTATCTCAATTGTCTGTTGAAGTCCTCGATTGCAATTCATTTTTGATCAGTCTAATTATTTAATTTTTCAGAGAACTATTGAAACTGGGCAAGAATGAGCGACCTTACAGAATGCACCGCACCTGCTTATACAGAGAAAACCGATCCTCCGCCAGACGCTTCAATGCCAATCGATCCACCCATACAATTCACAGTGGTGCACAATCGGAACAAGCACCGATTTTCGTTTCCACCATCAACTACGGTTTTGGAAGTGAAAGAGGCGTTGGAAAAATTAACACACGTCCCGGTTAACATGCAAAAGTTGATATTCCGTGGTCTTTTGTCCGATTCCGCGTCGTTAGGTAGTCTACAGCTTCCTGCTCGTGATGCCAAGCTCATGTTGGTCGGTACAAGTCAATCAGAGGCGGACGAGTTGCGACAGGTTGAAGCGACCCCTGTGGTAGAAGGCGACAAAACTACATCGGGTTCACCCATTGAGCCGAATACAGATTGGTCCGAACAAACTGAGCACAAACGAGTCCTCGAACGCTTCGGCAAACCGGAGAATGCGATGATTGGTATCATAAACAGCGAAGAGATCTTGGCCCCCGACGAATCACTAACCGGATTGTATGACAAACGCGGCCAACCCTTGCGACTTCGTGTACGACCTGATACGTGTGAATTGTGGCTTGCTACGAATGACGTAACACACAAGTTTCCATTGGCTACCATACACGATGTAGTTAGTCAACCCATCAAAGATCATCCAGAGTATCACATTATGGCTTTTCAGTTGGGTCCAACCCCCAAATCCAGATACTTTGTATATTGGTTGCCTTCTCAGTATGTGGACTCCATCAAAACCATGGTTTTACAACACAAAATTATGCGAAATTCAGATCACACACAACTCTAACCAGTCCGGGTTTTTGACAACAACAGAGCTTTGTCAGCATACCGATTCATCATTCACATACTACTGGTTTTGAGATTTACCTCATTCAGATTGCCTTCCATCCCAGATGCCATTTGCCTTTGTTTTTCCACGATGCCCATATGCAAAGCATTCGGAATTTTCTTCCAGATTCCTCTCCCCATATTTTTCAGCCTTCCTTGCATCAGTAAACTGTACAATTCCTGCAATAATAAGGTTGCGTCGGTTTATGATTATTATCATTTTGTTTTTCCGTTCCTGTTAGGATTAATAAAAAAAGTAGTTCCTTTGCCACCACCAGTAAAATGTGTAATGAAGCGGACCACGTCGAAAAGAGATAGCGACATGTTGTTGACTCATGCAAGATCAAGAAGGGTTCTTGTTCGCGGAATCTGTTCGAACGGCAGTAGGAGACATTTGTTTGCACAAAACATTGCTTTACGGAACTGCTATTTATCCCATAAGCTGCTTGATGTATAGACTCAGAGAACTATACGCTATCAGTCGATTCTCTTTGTTGCGGATTGGAGAGTGGGCACTTTGTATGTGGTTAGTTATAAATAAGCTGACAACCCGGATGAACCAGCAGCCATGGGCGATCATCTACTGAGTCTGATGAGTGCGGTTCAGTTTTAAATTGAATGAAAAATTAAAAGTTTCTCTTTGCTAGCTATTTGAAACAAAAATACTGATGCTCGTCCAAGGCATTTTGAGGTTTTTATTACACAAAAGTGAATACTCCATGATCCAAGGATCGAAACTACATGAAATGTTGAACGGAACATTCAGGCTAGGGTCAACTGGTATATGTTGCGTTGAAGTGTAAGGATGTCATAAGCTAGGGTTTGGTATGCTGTTCTTGAAAAAAAGATGATTGAACGGTAAAAGTACGTCACCTGGGATTAATCACTTGGAATGGGTAACTAAGCGCTTGTGGAGATAAATGGTACCGGTAAAATAAGGGTCTGGGAATTTAAGGAGATATTGTGGGAGGATCGATCAGTGCTAACGATGAGGTGAACAAGGCCTGCGCAGCAGCTGAATATAGAACATTTATGTAGTGTCATCAGTGAAGACGTGAATAGGATTGACAGTTGGCGGAAGGAAGCCATCAATGAAAATCAGGTAAATTTGGGAGAACTACATAACCTTTGGACATCAGCACTCGCGGGTACGGAGCGAGACCTGTTCCGATAGATTCGGCCGGTCATCGTGGTAACGTGCTATCCATGAACTTCTAAGGGAAAGCCAAATTTCCTTAGTTCAGCCATCAGACCTACATGTCAGATACGATCATATAGGTTTCTTCATGATCGTCAAGTGCTATTGACCGTGTATGTAAAATGAGCAGCAGAAGATCGATGGCACCGGACACCGTACTGACGGTCGCTCAGCAGCCTCTTCTGCTCCAGTTGACGGGAGAGTTGATCAGCACTGATTGATTCCACAATCTTCGACAACTTGTGCGGGGATACGAAGCGACAGTCATTGGGGTCTGCACGGTCACCGCGTTTAGGAACGGGAAGTATTTAAGATGTTCTCCATGTGTCTGTGAATATCCTGTAGTCAAGGGATGTGAGAATAAGCAACGTATGAGGAGACACACATTGGGGACTATGAGAGGAATTCCATAAGGTCTAGGTAGCTTGTGTGGTTTCAGTGATAAGACGATCTGACGTAGCTTTCTGGTCGAAATGAGCGGGGTGGGCACATGGCTTGTTGTAGTTCATGTGGAACAGTACGAAAACAGAAGTGGGCAAACCATTATAGGGAAGTAAGCTCGGTTTAATTAAATGCGAAACGACCAAGTGTATGCCTCATAAAAGAACTGGAGAATTTGAAATATGTAATAGAGACCGGTGGAGAACCAACACTCATATTAAGAGAAGCCACCCAAAAATTCACACCGATTACTGGGGCCGTATTTCCGGAACTGAGAGGAGGGTTAACTTGGATAGACAATGCAATAGGACAGTGGTCCAATGAGCCCAGTGAGGGAAATGTGAAAATAGATATGGTTTGGATATGTGAACATGATCGAGTATATAGGTATAGTCTCTAGCACAGTTGGTGTCGATTATTCACTGGGACAAATGATTCTCGTTCACCCCCAGAGGACTAAGTTCCGAGGCAGGTTAAAAGCCATTTCCTGTTATTAATCCTATAATCACCAAAAATTGTAGATTGGGCTTCGGGGTTTGTTCCAATAATAATCTCCATACTTGTGATCAAAATATCAGAAAGTGATGAGTCACTTTTATTCGGGACTGGTTAACAGCCCAGAAGTAATGGTTAAAAAAATGGGAAGCAAAGTTTCAGCCGAATGGTCCAGAATTCGAAGTGCAAGTGATTAGATGGCTGATGAATGCAAAACCAACCGCTTTGGAATGGAGTGAGCTGTGAAGAGAATGACTGGAGGAAGAGATTTAGGTGATGTGTAATAGAAAAATTTGAAGAAATTGGGGGACTAACCTGTGTTGCGTTTTAGGCCGTGAACGAAATTGATTGCGATTTTCTTGTGAGTAGACTGCGCATCAGTAGTGCCTTGTTTGACTTGAACGAATCTAACCCCGCATCACCCTCTTGTCCCTCAGGTAACGCTTGTTTCTGCAGGCAATCTGATGCCTCCTCAAAACCAAGGTCTTGAGGTTGCTACTTTGTATGCTTTTTCATGGTCGTATTATGGACTGGATATTTATGAAGTTGAATATTCTGCACTTCAAAAAGGTCTCCTAGTCCCGATGATCATAATCTCTCCTCATAGGTGAGGCACTTCAGTCCCTTGACAATCCCCTGTGGACGCTTCATCGTCCTACGATTACGTTGCAACTATGGTCTCCAAGTTGGGATGGCGTACTCTGTGTACGGTTGAAAGTACACACTAATAGCACACGTGGAACAACACTGATTCAATTCGACCGAAGACTCGCCTAAGCCGACATTCTTCACAACAACAGGCGAAGCCCTGAGACAGTTGGTCGAGCAGCTCAAGTTTGAAAACTTGTTTTTTTTATTGCTCTAACGCATACGGTAGATCATTATGGATGCGAGGAAAAGTCTGGGACGAAGTCTAGACCCTTATAGGGGTACCGCGGGTACTGCTGATAGAACCATATAGGGATTCAGAAACACGAACTGATACGGTCGTTGTCTGAGGAATGCTTTAATCCAACCAAGCAAGAGATCTCAAATGCCGTAATTGTAGAGATTCTGAAAAAGAAATTTGGGGACTTACCCGATCAAATGCTTTCGAGAAGTTCAGATAAATCACGTCCATTGCATCCCCTTCGTTTACTGTTCTAGTTCATTAATCTCGAACAAAAAGCAAGCTGATGGGACAAGATCGCTTTTTGCCTGAACCCATGTTGAGATGTCGAAAATTATTGTATCTTTCTAAGTGTTCCGGCGGAGAATCCGCCAAAAATGACTCCATGATTTTCGATAACCGGTGGTAGGGTTACAGGTCGGTAGTTAGTGAGGTCACTACAACGATCATCTTTGTATATAGGTGAAATAACTCCTTGTTTCCACAATTGTGGGTGTTGCTTGGTCAAACATCCGTTGGAATAGCATGGCTAGTGGTTCGGCTATATGATTCGCCAAAAAGATAAGGGATTTCGGATGTATATTGTCCGCACCTGAGGTTGCGTTTTTTCACAAAGCCATTAGTTTTGCTTTGACGTTTTCAGCAATACACATTGATCAGCGAAGGTTGTGGTGGGAAAAGGACTTTAGAATACTGAGTTTGCAGTCGAACATCCAGCACAAGAATTTATGTAATAACTGGTGTATTATCGAAGCATCACAAGAAAGCTGCTGAAAGTCTCAGAATTGATTTATCTAGTCAATTAGTGCATGCTGACGTGCGGTCCATCAAATTGTGCGCTCCCGGTTTAATCGGAATCTTTCTGCAAAATCTCGTCGTACTTCGTCGAGTCTACGTTCATTCGATCCAGTTCTGCGAGCTTTATTCCATTGGAAGTAAATCGCTGATATCTCTCCATTGAGCAGTTTTTCTGTTATCATCGAAGCCTTGGGATATACTCACGCGTGCAAAATTGTGCAATTTTATTTGCTGTGTCAACATTGTGATATCGGAAATTCAAAAACCTTTCAAAGTAGCCCTGACTGAGCTTTCTAAGTTCAATTTTAAGCATTCTACGGATATATTTGTGCAGTTCAGTGCAATCATTGCTGCCACTCTCAGTAGCACTTGTCTCTGTTCCACTGCGGCCAGCAAGGCCAATAGATATTCCCAAAGGAACCTTTGTCATTGCTCTGTATACTTGTGACCTCCACTGATCCGGACGAGCGGGCGACCGAGACAACTTCTCTCGCTTCACGTGACCTTTTTCATATTTCGTCAGTCTCGCCGCTCGATAAAGTGCAAAAATGGGACGTCGCGTAGTGTCAACAAGTGCCGCACTAAGTGTTTCGACGACATCGGAAGTATGCGGCCTACGGGGTTGTAAGAAAGAAGTTAAAACGGGGATATTTTGCACACACTGCCTAAAACACTTTCACCTTTCATGTGCCAAACTCTAGGTAAAACAGGCAAAACAGTTAGCCACTCAGCTAGAACGTATATGGTTCTATACAGAATGTGCGGAAATCTTGATTGTAAAATGCACCACTTGTATCACACACAAGTACGAGAAGCTATAGTCAGGAGCCGAAGAAAGAGCGAATTCAAAAATCGCCACGCTTGAGGCAAAAATAGCAGACTTAAGTTCACGGATCACACCAGCTAGCCCGATCCGGAAACCCAGCAAACGACCAAAATGCCCGACACAAGTGGTCACCCCACGGCAGGGGACGCACACGGTTGAATTGAACGCGACGACAAAAGCAACAGTAGAAGCACCTGCCAACTCGGGACCCACATACACCCAGTGGCCTCCCTTATCTGCTCCTTTAAAGATAACAGCACTACCTGCAAGCTCGCCACTGCCAAAAAACTCTCTAACCCCCATAACTCCGGC